TGAAGGATGGAGTTTTGCACCATGGCTAAAGGAGCTTTACAAAATAGGTTTATATGCATTGATTGTTATCCTGGCATTGTTAGTGCTAGTGCCTTGTGTGCTTCACTGTGCACCGTGAATGATGAACAAGGCCATCAAGGAAGTTTTCTTAGTTCAAGAGAGAGGGAAATGCAGGAAATGGATTTGTAGAAAGTTCTTAGGGCCTGACAGAAAGTTCCCATAATATGCATCCTGTGAGGAGCCCTGGACTCCAGGACAGTCTGGAGGGATGGAGATGAGAGATCTCTGAAGTCTGGTCTTAGAATATGTGGTTTATTATAAAGGGTAAAGGGCCCTGCTTGGAGTTGCCAGGTGCAATTCGTGGCAAGCCCTAGGGAGTGGGGGCAGGGAGAGGCAACGGGCAGAGGATGATAGGAGAGGGTTCCAAGAGGATGTTCCAAGAGAGCTTCAGGTCCCTCGGGCGCTCATCATCAGGGGGCTTCAAGGTGGGCTGGAACAAGACTTGGGCCAGTGGGGTCACAGACTCCTGATGCTCCAGGGGAGGGTTACAGGTGTGGGATGAAGCACACATTGGGGTGAGATAGAACAGTCCATCTGACCCTTGGACCTACCTGTAGGTAAAGGGCATTGTTTTGCCAGAAGGGGGAACTGCTTTCAATCTGGCTATTCTATTGTTTTCTAGTTGTTCAGTAACTAAGGTTTGGTATGTCAAATTTTGTTCTCATCTCAATATAAGTATTTGCTAAAACTTTTGCCAGGCAATCATATTTATAAGGTTTTCTATTTCATCTTCCCCAACATCATCCCTATGCAAACTTTGAGACAAGAAATGCTGTCTTAAAAATGCCATGGAATAGGACAGACATTGTTGAGAGAGAAATGGAACTAGAAAAAAGTTTAAAAATGGCCTTACAAATATGAGGATATACTTTAGAGAAACACAACTATGAAAGATGTATTGTAGGAGAACCCATGAGGGGTTGTTTTAGATTATTGGCTTTAAGGCATTTACAGTATGATGGGGCAAAAAGCTGATAGGCCAAGAAGGGCTTCTGGTGTATTGTAATTAGGAAATAATTGGCTTGTGATTGTGATTGTATGAATGATAACATCTGTATTGTCTCACCCTTCTCATGGGACTGAAAATGGAATAAAAGTTTTAAAACGCCTCTCAGTTACCCAACCTCTGAGTCAGGAAAAGGGCATTGTCTGACATCACTTAAAAGCATTTTTCTTGTTCTTAATAAAAGCATTGTCTGAGATTTACTAAAATCATTAGGTCCAGTCAAGAGACACCTAGTAGCCCTTTCAAATCAGTGCATTGTACCTAGCTTAAATCTTGAGATTTCAGTGACCTTTCATCATCTGTGGGAGTGATCATTTTAAGGCAGAATTGTAGCAAAACCACTGAAGACCACAGATCTGATATAACTTCCTCAGCAAAGTCAGGTCAAAATTTGGTATTTTGGTATTAATAATTCAAAATTATTTAAAATTTATTATTATTCATGCTATCTTTTGACATCTGGGTTGGCCAGTTGATAGGAATTTTGTGTAGCAGCTTCCAAAATTAAACCAATACAAATGTGAAATCAATTGTTTTGGGAGGCCTTAGAATTTGAGGTTTCAAACACCAGCACTGATTTTGATTTTCTCTTGGACTAGAGTGAGTGTAATGATTTGCAGTTTCTTTTTTTCTGCATGGTATGGACGGTTATATTGCTTTTAGTTCAGGTCTACTGACTATTATGGACTTCACATTTCTATGTCAGTTTTAATAACTCTTCTTAATCAGAATTAAACCTTGACTTTATGAAGTAACATCGAATTCAAACTTTTTAATGGGATGCAGAGACAGTGACGGGAAAATGAAGCATTTGTAGTTTTGGTGTAAACTGATAGAGTGGGTTTGGAAAAAGTAAAATCTGTGGTTAGAAATGGCAGGATTTCCTTCTGCCTCTCTGCATCCTGGTTGCAAACTAGAGTCAAGACTTAGATTCTCTGACAGCAAGAGCCAAACTTCTTAATTGCTCTGACACACATAATTTTTTCCTTGTTTGTTATCATGCCTCCTCCAAAAACATGACGGGAAGCACTATGGCAATAATAATATTAGCTTAAATATTTCCTACAAATACAAAAAAAACCTTTTAGTCATGGCACGACTATTGTTGCTCTAATCATTAAGTTTCCCGCTCAACATAAACCAGGAGCTTCAGCGCTGTCTGTCGGCGGTGGCGGCGGAACCCGGGCCCGGTGCCGCCGCCGAGCCCCGCCCAAGCCGGGCCCCCTTGAGCGCGGCCGTCCGGCGGCTGCAGTGGCGCGGCGGCGCCTCCGGGTGCCGCTGTTGGCCGCCGCCGAGCGGCGCTGGAGCCGCCGCCGCCGCCGCCGCAGCGTCCTGCCCCCGCAGGCTGCTCGCTCGCCCGGCGCCGGC